TGCCAAAAGTCAGTGTCGAAGCCGTCAATGTCCATGCTTTGCTGCAGATCGGGAATGTGACCCAGATGTTTGTAGGAACTGCTGGGTCATGTAAGTCTTATTGGCGATGCAAATACATCTTGATTGGTCGCTTAGAAAAGGATCAAGAAGAGCTACTTTTTTTTTTAATAGTTCCAGATGCACTTATACTGTTTCTGAATGAATTTGAATGTGTAGTGGTGGGGATGGTTCGCTTGGGGTCCCAAGCCAAAGAGGCGATAATTATGAGTGCAGGAATATGAAATTGCTCCTGAAACAACAACAAAGGGTAAAATATTTGGCCTTGTTAACTAAATATCTATTATCTGCAATCAAATGATTAAAGATGAAATTGCTAAGTTTGCTTCCTTTTTTTTTTAATGTTAATTTCAGGTGTTACTTGGAATATCTGATGTTTCTGGTTGGGGAGCTTTCTTAAAGGTATAGTAGATGCAAGATTTGTTGAAAAGAATTTTGAAGTCCTTATGAAACTATGTTTGGAGTCTGGGCTTGCCTTAAGAACAATTCTTGTTCCTTCTTACAGAACAGTGTAAGTAAGCATGAATACCTTGGGGAATACACAGGAGAGCTGATCTCACATAAAGAAGCAGATAAACGCGGGAAGATATATGATCGCGAGAACTCCTCTTTTCTCTTCAATCTAAACGATCAGGCACGTCTCAGCTTTAAAATGTCCCCAACTCTCTTTCTCTCTAGGTTGTCAATTTAAAAAACCTTTTTTGGATTTTGCTGCAGTTTGTGCTTGATGCTTACAGGAAAGGAGACAAACTTAAATTTGCCAACCATTCTCCTGAACCTAACTGTTACGCAAAGGTAATAGTGCAAGTTAAAGACACGGTTTACGCATGATGGGTCTGTTCTGTTTTTCCTCAAAATCTAACTAGTGGATTTTGTATCTGTTCAAGGTCATTATGGTTGCTGGAGATCACAGGGTGGGGATCTTCGCAAAAGAGAGGATACTGGCTGGAGAAGAACTATTTTACGATTACCGGTATGAGCCAGATCGAGCTCCAGCTTGGGCCAAAAAACCTGAAGCTCCGGGTTCTAAGAAAGACGAAAATGTTACACCTTCTGTTGGTAGACCCAAGAAGCTTGCTTAGCAACAAAAGAAACAACCATTTTTTTTGTCAATTCTTTGGTTACAGGTGGAAGAACGCTAACGCATTAATCCTCATTATTCTCCACACGGAAGACACATTGAAACAAATTTATACATTTTGCTGAGTCTAAAGAAAAGTTGTATTCGTTGGATTAAAAATTTTCCTTTTTTCGTTTTCATGACAATTGAGTACATTTCTGGATTATCATTGTACCGTATGAGACTCCGGGTTAGGTTTTTAAATTACGGTATGATCAGAAAGCCATAAAACCCAAATCAGAAACGAATATGAGCCAAATTAAAATGTACATTGACGCATAAACCTAACGCTTTACACAATACATGTGAATTATACAAGAATGTTTGCGGTAACCAAGATATAAAATGCATCTATTCTATGTTCTCTTTGAAGGGTCCATCTTCATGCAACAGTTTGATGACAAAATCCACCTGCGATGTACAAAGTTACATTGTTTAACGCTCCATTTACGTACCTATGTTTATTTACTCTTTTAACACCATAACTACAAAACGTACCTGATTTGATTCACGCACTAAGAACTCGTCTATGGCTTGCCTGAAACCTTCATCGAATATGTAATGGCAACTATATGTCTTAACGGGAAGGTAGCCTCGCTGAATCTTATGCTCGCCCTGAGCTCCAGCTTCCACCGTTTTCAGATTAAGCTCTATTGCTGCTTCAATTGCCTATGATCATTATTGTCGGTTTGAATCTCCTTATCCATTTGTGAAAGTTTATCATCTAAAATACGGTCCCCCAAGAGAATCACTAGAGATTTTGTACCAACAAGACCAACCTGGTAATAGCACGCTTCAAAATGGAGACTAGGATAATAGGAATCAGGACGACATCCCCATAGTCTCCCAAATAGAGTATCTCCTCCAATAAGATTCAATGCTCCTGCAACAGGTTCCTCGTTTTCTTCAGCAAGAACAAGCAATACCTTGTCTCCTAACTTCGATGCCATGTCGTGAAAGAACTCCCTTGTGAGATAAGGTGTGCCCCATCTACAATTAGCCGGAAAACGTTAAGCATGTGAAAGTACAAGCACATGTATTATCAGAATTACGATGTACAGGTGCAAAACACTTGACAGATAATCAGAAAACAAAAATTGTCTCAATGATATGGACTAAACTTGTTATCAGTTGTGTTCCTGTAGAAGTCATAGAAGGAATCCCAATGCCTAGCCTGCAAAAACATTAGGAACAAAAGATGAATTGAAAAATTGATTGATTTAGGCTAAATACAGTTAAATTTTCAAGTCTTTTAACATGTTCCATCAATTCTAACATCTGGTAGCAGAGTGAGATCCCAAAGTTGAATATAGCCATCAAACTAAAAAGATACCTTGAGAAATAATCAATTACAAAAAAAAACATTGTGTTCTCTCGTGGCAGTCCAGTTTCATACCTTTATTTCATCTCCTCGTAGCCGTCTCATTTTCAAATTCTGGGAACCAATCTACTAGAGAAAAGGAGCATTAGAAGTCAGCAGCGTTCTTGAAAAATGCCACAAGGAACGGATAACGAAATAAGGCTACAATTCAAAAGTTGTATGGGAAGAACCAAAGAATAACCATTCCATTTAACAATCAAAGAACTTTAGAGAAAATGGATAAATCTCAACTAATCGCACAATAAGGATTATATGAAAACAGGAAAAATAAACAAACCTTTTTACGTTCCTGCCGGATATTTTTCCTTTTGCTTTGCTTCATGTCCATCAAGAACTCATCAAAACTGAAGCATTAAAGATTAATAGTTAACATCAGTCATTAACTTTTTAAGTGAACAAAGTTGGAAGTCAGCAGATAATGACCAGATAGAAACCGATGCATTAATAATAGCAAGCGAATCCAATCAAAGGCACCAATTGCTTAAAGATATAAAATGTTAGTCGTGTAATCAAACCATCAACATATTCCACACAAATTGTAAGCTACGACATTTAGTTGTTAGGAATTTTAAGAACATATACCTAAACTGTTAGACAACAATGTTCTAAGTTGAAGAAAGTATCTACACTGGTGAATCCTATGACTAGAAGTCTAGAAGTAGTGTTTTTTTTTTGTTTTTTTTCAATCAAATAATAACAATAAACAAAATATAAAAGCAACAACTATAACCAGTCCAGACAATCCAGGCATTGAAACTTACTTTTTATAGTCACGATTTTGCCAGTGATACTGCATTCCAATCCTCTGTGAGAATCCTTTCTCCTTCAATTTGTTCCACTCAACTCCAGAAGGAAATGTAATATGCAAAGATGAAACTCGTAACTGCCAAAGCGCACAGAATAAAGCTAATCTGTCAGCAGATAGCATATGTTGAAAACCAGAACTCAATGCAAGATAACCATTACAGCTCAAAGAAGGTAAAAATGTGAGATTGTTCCTATAGTATTAAAGATCGCTAATACACAGAAAAAAACCAGTTCTGTATACCATGGGATCACAAGTTTATTCATGTTATCAAACTCAACATGTTCCTAGTTATGGTTTCATCTACAATACAACACATTTCATAATAATATCATACCTTGGCTGCCAATTCTGTCATGGCAGAAACAATAGCATCAAAAACTTGGTCTTTGCAAGGATTATTACGGATTAAGATCCTAGGGCCAGTAACTGGGGTGAAAGGAACACAACACTGAAGTTTAGGATAATATCTTCCGCCAAAACTTCGGTATGCATCAGCCCAAGAATGATCAAAAACAAATTCGCCGTAGGAATGGCTTTTGAGATAAAGTGGAACAACGCCCAAAATACTCTCAGATTCATCCTTTGCAACAATGTGTAATGGCATCCAACCTGTTTCCTACAACACATTTGCATATAGAAATTCCCATAAGAAAGACAAACATCAGCGCTTCTTTCGATTGAAATTGTTTTACTAACCCGGACGGCACATCCCGTCTCTTCTAAACTGGACAGAAATCCATAACTTAGAAATGGATTATAGCTTTCAGGTTGAGAAGAATCCAAAGCACATGCATCCCATTCAGCTTGTGGTATCTCTAATATCGAAGAAACAACTGAAAGTGAAATCACATTTCGCCTCGGCTGATCCGAAGCTTCCTAAACTCGAAGCGAATTCACTATTAGCCATAGAGAAGTGATGATTTATCAAACTGGAATCAACAATGGAGCCTGAAATACCTCAAAGTCTGATCCAGTTAGAGAGTAATCCCTAAGTGATATATCGAATTCCCGTACTTCCGCCGGTTTATTAGACTTCCAAAACATAGCAGTAACCGTAGATGATCGTCTTGAACTCCTAACATTTCCTTTCTTCCACAAATTTCCCTACAGAGAAAGGATCATGAACTTGAATTATCTGATTCCAATAGTCTAATTGCATAGACATGAACTCGTAAGAGTAAGCCATAGCTAATCTAACAGAGTAAAACATTATCGCCAAAGAAAAACTCACGCAACGACGATGGAATCGACGAAGAGGAGGCGAAGGTTTGCAGTAGGAAAGTACAACGGCCATGGATGAACCAAAAGATAAAGATGAGACTGGTTACGCGTCGGTGTGTTTGAAGAGGAACGAAAAAGGAGTCCCGACGTGCGCGGCGGCGACGACGGCGGCTCCGGCGATCAAGTGGAATCACAGTGGTCGCTGATGATTTCGAATTTGGGATTTTGCTTCGTGACGTGTCAATTTTGGGGTCTTCAGTTATTTTTTGTGTTGTCGATAAGGTGGGCTATTGATGTGACAGTTAGGCCCATTAAAGTGAGTGAATATGGACCTTTTAAAGCCTTAACTATTTCTCGCAAAGAGAGGAATTAGGCTTTGAGATATTACAGTTTCTTGTATAGCAAGATATTGATTTTAGTGACAAACTGATACATGCATAGATGGAGAAGCTAAGGAGAAAGAAACACATCACTGGGTTTATTCGATTTTACAGACATATATTAATGATACATGAAACAAAGAGCAAGTAGTTTGATAGAAATCACAGATGAACTGGATATATAATAGAGATGAACAACGAATCAAATCCGACAACCAAATCGTCTTTCCCTGCGCTGATACGAAGCGAGAGCCTCTAGAAGCTTATCCTTATCGAAATCAGGCCAAAGGACCGGCGAGAAGAAGAGCTCGGTATAAGCAAGTTGCCACAAGAAGAAGTCACTAATCCTCTGTTCTCCACTTGTCCTAATCATTAAATCAGGACTTGGGAAGTCACTACAATTCGTCAGAAGCTCTCTCTCGATCAATGCCTCGTCAACGTCTTGCTCTCGGATCAACCCTCTCTCTGATTTCTTCACAAGACTCTTGCAAGCGTGCATGATATCGAATCTCCCGCTATAATCTATTGCCACGATGAGATGCTTATTCTTGTAGCCTTTCGTAGCTTCCTCTATCTCATGGATTTCTTGGAGGATAGATTCATCGATCTTCGTTTGATTCCCGATAACAGAAACGCGAATTTCCTTTCTGAAACAACAAGATCATTTTTGGTAACAAATGAACAGACCATATATATGACAAAAACGAAAGAAGCAGTGCCGCCTCATATAGGAGCGGGAGTTGCAACGGTCCAAAACTCAATCCTGTGTTCCAATAATTAAAGGGCTCAATCTTAAAATGTATTAATAAATTAGATTACAACATAAAAGTAAAATTTAGAAGGGCCCATAAATTTTTTTTATGTACTACTTTTGGTTTTAATAATTAATTTTTAATAGAAATCTATACTATATAAAAGTCGAGGCCATAAGGTCCTTAGGCCGTCCACCTAGGATTTTAAACCACCAATCGCAATTAGACACTTCATCAGTTAACATTTTTACACACCACGTTAATTAACATTTTTAAATTCTAATATTTTTTATACTTAAATATTAATAAAAAGGAAAAAAAACAATATATGGAAAGAAGAAAAATGTGAACTTTTGAAAAAACAAAATATAGAAATAATAAAAATGTAAAGTATATATTTCAATATTATTATGCAGCGAATATATTTTTATTTGGAAATTTCCTAAAATTTATGTAGCTTTCAAATTATTTCTTTGTGTGGATATTGTTAATTTCTTTATGTTAAATATATGTATGAAAAGTGGTTCACATGTAGAAAGGAAAAAAATCAAAGAAATCAAATAAAAAAAAGTGAAAAAAATTATATATTGAAGAAGATGAATATGAGAAAAGGTAATTCTTTAAAAAAAAAAATTAATTATATATAGGGTTCTATATATTATAATCGTTTGATTAATTTGAGTTCGCTGTTTTTGAATTATCTTTTTAGCCATGCAAGACTTCTTCAGAAACCAAAGTTTGGCATGTTTGTTTGCCAAATCTAACCGATTACGATGACAGTTATATTAAAGATAGGAGGTGACTATTTTTTTTCTTTTTCTTGTAATTGTCCGTATTATTTTCGAGTATCTTTTTATCATCAATAAGAGGACAAGTATGAATGAGTAGATTTAAATATTATGAAGATTATATTGCTATTCAATTTAAGATTTATCAAAACTCTATCAAATTTTGATGTTATTTATTTATGTATTTGTAAATAGTAATCTAAAAGCTTCATAAATTTGGAGTTATTTGAGACCATGATTTTATAAATTTGAAGCTCTAAAAGCTATAAATTTCATAGCTTAAGTCGAAACCACTAGCTTCTATACTACATAAAAGTCAAAGTTATAAGCTTCTGAAACTGTCAACAAATTTTTAAAAGACTAATCATGATTAGCCATCTCGGTAAATTGTTTTCTTGTGTGGATATTGTTAATTTCTATATGTAAAATATATGCATGAAAAGTGTGAAAAGTGGTTCGCATGTAGAATGCATAGAAATAAAAAAAAGTGAAAATAATTATATATTGAAGAAGAAGAACAAGAGAAGTAAAAAAGTAATTCTTTAAAAAAAAAAAGTAATTATATATAGGGTTATGTATATTATAATCGTTTGATTAATTTGAATTCTCTATTTTTGAATTATTTTTTAACCATGCAAGATTTCTTCAGAAACCAAAGTTTGGCTTGTTTGTTTGCCAAATCTAACTGATTACGATGACAGTTATATTGAATATAGGAGGTGAATTTTTTTTTTTTTTTTTGTAATTGTCCATATTATTTTCGCGTATTTTTTTTATCATCAATAAGAGAACAAGTATGAAGGAGTTGATTTAAATATTATGAAGATTATATTGTTATTCAATTTAAGATTTATCAAAACTCTATCAAAGTTTGATGTTATTTGTTTATGTATTTGTAAATAGTAATCTAAAAGCTTCATAAATTTGGAGTTATTGGAGACCATGATTTTATAAATTTGAAGCTCTAAAAGATATAAAAAATTCACAACTTAAGTCGAAACCAGTAGCTTTTATACTACATAAAAGTTGAAGTCATAAGCTTCTAAAACTGTCCACAAAAAAAAAAAAAAAAAAAAAAAAAAAAAAAAAAAAACTGTCCACAAAATTTTAAAAGGGCTTTTGCAAAAATGCTCCATTTTCAATGCTACTTTTCAAAAATGCTCCTTCTTTAAAACCTTATAAAAAATCTCTTAAAAATATAAGATTTACCCAAATATGTATGTAACATTATTAAAACATACACAAACTACATTTTTATGTATCTAAAATCTTATAAATACTTTATAAATACCTTATAAATGCATTTTAAAAACCTTTAAAATATCTTGTAAAACCTTTGAAAAACCTTAAAAATCCTTTAAAATAACTTGTAAAACTTTAAAAACACCTTATAAAACCTTATAAATACTTGGATCGAGTCTTCAAGTAGTAGTTACAATTCATAAATACCTTATAAACCTAATAAAACTTTATAAAAATTTCAGATTTAAAAACGGGCATTTTTGAAAAGGGACACACCAAAAGGGGCATTTTTAACAATTTCCCAATTTTAAAAGACTAATCACGATTAGCCATCTTGGTAATTAGCAATTTTAGATTCCAATAATTTTCTATATTAAGATACTTATAAAAAGAAAAAAAGAAATATATATATATGAAACAAAAAAATTGTAAACATAAAAAAAACATATGGGTAGACAAAAAATGTAAACTTTTGTTATTAGAATATATAAAATAATATCAATAGAAAATTAAGATACTTATAAAAAAGTTATAAGAAAAAAACAATCTATGGAAACGAGAAAAATATAAACTTAAAAAAAATATATGCAATAAAGAAAAATGTAAAATTTTTGTTATTAGAATATATAAAATAATATCATTATTAGTCTCACCAAATTTGCCAATATCCTTTCTTAAGCACAATTAGGGGTCGACATTTTAGTTTGATGTCGAGTTAAATTTGATTCGGTTATTTCGATTTTAATAAAACATCAAGTCTCTAATCAAACTCATTTTGGTTCATTTTAATTCGGTTTGGATTAATTTTGTTTTGCTTGATTCGGTCTATTATGTAAAATAAATTATTTATAAAATTGAAAGAATGGCAAGAAATGGAAGCAAGAAAAATAGAAATTATATAATTGGGATAAATAACTAAAAAATTTGAATAGAATAATCAATCAAGAGGTATGTGAAAAAAAAAAGGTATACAATATATACATGTAACATGTGTAAGTTTATTCATTTGTTTCTTTTCATTTAAATGTTGATTGATAATTTTTCATGTTTCAAGTTTGATGTTTGGATATTAGATCATTTTAATCATTAAAATTTTTAAGTCTTTTTTATATACTTGAGTAAAATATGACACATCATATTTGTAATATTTTTTATACCAACTTTGATCCTATAAGCTTTACTTTTATCAAAAAAAAAATTTTAACCAACATAAATGATACTAAAAATATAAATAAAACAACATATATGCTATAAAGAATTCAAAAAATGAAACATTATTGTTATTAATTGATTACTAAGCCCAAAAATATAATGAAACAATCAATAAAAGTAAATCCCCGCGTAGCGGGGGTTATAACCTAGTATCATACAAAAACTCTTTTATAGCAATAAAATAGTAAAAAAAACAAATTTTAAGGGTCCAAAATTTTTTTTGCCCTAAGATCCATAAAAGTGTTGAGCCGGCCCTTTAGAAGCTCAATCGAATTTGTATTTATACCTGTGAAAGTATTGGCTGTTGGACTTGAGTTGGTGTTGGAACAAAGACATAAGCCACTTGACCTCATCCTTATATAATAACAACAAAATTTAGTTAGATTTCTATAATTGTATGAGAATGTAAGCTACTTGTATCTAATGTGTCACACCTTGTCTCTTCCCCAATTCCCTGTGGAGAAAGCAAAAGCTGAGACTGTATGAATCCCGAGTTCGAAGCAGAGCTCGGCGATCTCTATAAACCGTTTAGCTCCGGCCTCGTGGCCTTGTGACGTCAGCAATCCGTCTCGTTTGGCCCATCTACGGTTCCCATCCAGTATGAATGCCACGTGCCTCGGCATCAGCTCTCTTTGTAGCTCCTCCTCTCGGACAACACAAGTTCCCTCATCACTACACAAGAACAAAAGCTAGAGCTAAGTTATTAAGATTTAGCTTTGCATTTTGTTGTTGTGTCCTTGTTTATTTATTTTTTTTTTATTTTTTTTTGCCACCCCTTGTTTATTTCTTTTAACAAGACCAGAGAATATGGTGTTCGCAAAAATCTCTGTTTCTTGGACTAAATTCTAAATTTTGTTAAATCCATTTAGTAAGGATTGTTTTTTTTTTTTTTAACATCTTTGGATCGATAAGATCCGATCTATTAGTGGAGTCGAATTCCGATGGAGAAGGTAAAATCAAAAAGGGCTTAACGACTTGACTAAAGACACTTTCCCATTTAGTAAGTATTGTTGTGTACGTTTTATTAATATTTTTCCCGCTGATTGAAATTAATTATAACAAAATGAAATTAAACTATGATTCTCTTGTTGGGAGAATTAATTTCAAAAATACTATTTTTATATGTTGTCTCTTGTCTGGACATAAATTGTTTAAAGAAATTTACGTGGATATATTAAAGATAGACATATGAAGAGAAAAAAAATTGTGCAACCCTAGCTACAGGTTTATGCATGACAAGTTTGAAAATTTGAGTTAAGAGACGACTAAATATACTAAAAACTAAAAGTATGATTAATTAGAAGTGCAAACTACCGTTTCTCGTTCTCATGACCGTCTCGAGCGGCTTTGAATTTGATGAGTCCAAGGAGTTTTGGCAAGAACGCAGGGAACCATTTATAGCTTGTGATAAAGAGACAGGGGATGAGAATAAGAAAGAGGAGGGATAATAGAGAAGAGATTAGAGAGAACATTGTTGTGGCTTTGCCTCAATGTTTGTTCGAGTTATAATTGAAGCTTTCTCATATACAGTATATATATTAAGAATTCAAAGACATCGCTTGATCAATTAAACTACGCAAAGACAGGTGGTCTTACGTATTAAACTCTTCTTTGGAGAAACTTTAATATTAGTTAATCGAAGTTTTGTAACGGTTTATCTATCTTTTTTCCAGCTGCACTAGGGCTTTGAGAACCCACGTGATTGGTTTCTTATGTCACAAGACTTTGATGAGTCCCAATAATTTTAGAGAGATTAAACTCTGTTTTTTTGCCAATTTCGAGTCGTCTGATTTGTGTCGTCTTTTTATCAGTTTTTAACCATTATTTTTATTTTTGTTTTGAGTCTTTTATTGAGTTAAAGTGTGTCTTTTAGTCCTTTATTGAATCTTTACAGATTTTAGGTAATTTTGAAGGAGAAAGAGCCGTATTAGGATGTAAACACGCATTTGGAAATGCAGGATCATGGAGAAATGTCAGAAGTTTGGCTTCAAATGGAGGATATCCCAAGGTTAGATCTCCTCATATTTTGACAAAAAAATAATATGAGGATCTTAATTAGCTTTCATTTCCATGTTATTAATTGAAGGCAACCTAATGGTGCAATAAACAATTATGGTCGATCTACTAACGATAGGTCAAGCTGCCAAGCAGATGAAGCTAATGTGGAAACTGATCGAGAGAGTCAAGACCAATCGGTACACATCTGGGACCGATCGGTCCACCTTCAGACTAGATTTTAAAGTTTCCAAAACAACCCAATCTTTTTTGATGTAGTTTTAAATATTAATAGAACTACAATTTAGCAAATATTAAAGTTTCTTGTGTAGCAAGATATTGGGTTTAGTAACAACTGATACATATACGGCAAAGCAAGGAGAAAGAAAGAAACACATCAATTTATTCGATTAAAGAAACAAATTACAATGATACCTAAAACAAAGAGCAAGTAGTTGATAGAAGTTACACATGAAAAGAAAGGATGAAATGTGGATCAAACACGACAGCCAAATCGTCTTTCCCTGCGCTGATACGAATCCAGAGCCTCTAGAAGCTTATCCTTATCAAAATCAGGCCAAAAGACCGGCGAGAAAAAGAGCTCGGTATAAGCAAGTTGCCACAAGAAGAAGTTACTAATCCTCTGTTCTCCACTTGTCCTAATCATTAAATCAGGACTTGGGAAGTCACTACAATTCGTCAATAGCTCCCTCTCAATCAATGCCTCGTCTACATCTTCCTCTCGGATCAACCCTTTCTCTGATTTCTTCACAAGACTCTTGCAAGCGTGCATGATATCGAATCTCCCGCTGTAATCTATTGCCACGATGAGATGCTTATTCTTGTAGCCTTTCGTAGCTTCCTCTATCTCATGGAGTTTTTGGAGGAGATGTTCAGAGATATTTGTTTGATTCCCGATAACAGAAACGCGAATTTCCTTTCTGAAACAACAAGATCTTGCTAATAAATGAGCAGACCAAACGAAAAAAAGCTCAATCGAATTGTATTTATACCTATGGAAGAATTGGATGTCGGACTTGCGGTAGTGTTGGATCAAAGACATTAAGTTATCAACTTCAATCTTAATAATAACAACAAAATTTAGTTAGATTTCTATAATTGTATGAGAATGTAAGCTACTTGTGTCTAATATGTCACACCTTGTCTCTTCCCCAATTCTCTGTGGAGAAAACAAAAGCTGAGACTGTATGAATCCCCAACTCGAAGCAGAGCTCGGCGATTTCTACAAGCCGTTTAGCTCCTGCCTCGTGGCCTTGTTGCGTCGTCAATCCGGCCCGTTTGGCCCATCTCCGGTTTCCATCCAATATGAATGCTACGTGCCTCGGCATCAACTCTCTTTGTAGCTCCTCCTCTCGGACAACATAAGTTCCCTCATCACTTCTTCACAAACACAAAAACCAAAGTTAAGTTATGATTTTCAATTAGGAAATTTGAGTTAAGAGATTAAACATAAAACTTACTAAAAAGTAAAAACTAAAAGTATGACTAGAATTTAGAAAACGCAAACTACCGTTTCTTGTTGTCACCATGGTCTCGAGCAGCTTTGATTTTGATGAGTCCGATGATAAAAAGACAAGGGATGAGAAACAGAAAGAGGAGTGATAATAGAGAAGACTCGGAAAAGAGAATAGACAACATTGTCGTGAGATCTTAATTTGGCTTTGCCTCTCTGTTTGTTCGAGTTATTGAAGCTTTTTCATATACAGTATTTATTAAGAATTCAAAGACATCGCTTGATCAATCAAAAACTACGCAAAGAGAGGTCATACATATTAATTAAACTTTTTCTTGAAGAAACAATAATATTAGTTAATCCATGTTTTGTAACCTAGGGTTTATCTATCTTTTTCCAGCTGCACTAGAGCTTTGACAACCCACGTGATTGGTTTCTTGTCTCACAAGACTTTGATGAGTCCTTATAGTTGTTTTGCCAATTTCGAGTCTGGTTAAAAATATTTTGACCTCAAGGTCTTTAAATACACAAAAAAATGTGTTGATAAGAAGAATCCAAAACACAGTTTGCCCAAAAAAAAAAAAAAAAAAAAAAAAAGAAGAATCCAAAACACATGCATCCCAATTCATCAGCTATTCAGCTTGTTGGTATCTCTGTATTGAACAAAAGAAATACCACTATTTGCAGAAAAAAAAATAAGGAAACAGAATGAATACTTTAGTTTTGTATTGTTAGATGATGTATTAAAAATGTATTAAAAGTTTTGGTACTTTTAAGTTTTTATATGTATGAACTATGAAGTCTTAAGTTCTAGTTTTAACATTTAAGTGTTTCTAGAATTTTACTCAAAGCACTAATTTGATTGAGAACCAACATTTATCATGCATAAAATAAGACAATGAAACTTTTTTCCTTGTGCGATGTGCCTTCAAAAGCCAAGTAAATACCAACTGATGTTTTAGTTAATATTTTATGCATTTTATATTTGAAATAAAATTTTCGCTTCAATGAAAATTTGAAATTTAAAAAAATTCAAACAATTATAAATTATTTTGTATATTAAATGCAAATTATTATTACCAATATCAATATGTGTATCAAAATTTTTTTTTTTTTGAAATGTAAAATTTATTCAACCAAAAAAACGTTTTTACAATGAATGTAACCTTTAATCGATAGCTGTTTTGAAAGAAATTCAAAGGAATAATAGAATGTTAGCCTCTGGACTCGAACCATACACGAAGGCCATCCTCATGTTTTTAGGGATCCAGTCGACGAACAGAGGAGAGCTTATTGCGTATCAATCGATCAATCGACTTGATTAACTGATCTCCAGTACTTGAGAGTTCACCATGCCTTCGTTTATTCCGCTCTATCCAGATTGAATGGATAGTTGCTTGGAAAAGAAGGCGAAGAATGAAGCCAGTGCTTGTGATTGTAGAATCAGATAAAAGACTCAATACCTCCATGAAACTGGTTGTATAGTGTCTTTGAAGTAGTCGTTGTGCCAGCTCCTCCCAAACCCGCGAAGAGAAAGCACAAGAGAAGAAGATGTGCTCCCGTGTCTCCATCGGAGCTTGACAAAAAACACATGATGGGTTCACTCCTCTGTTCCAAGCGACCATACACTCACCGGTGGTGTATCGAAACTTTAAACTACACTTACAATTTGAGGAAGTATAGAATATAAATCTAGTGTGTTTTTTTCATAAATTGAGGAAGTATAGAAGAATTGAGGAAGTCTATTTTATAAATTTCAAATTTACGTGTGGTTCAAAACCTAATTTCTTAAAAGAATTCTTTCGGACGTGACAATTCCCATAATCAAATAGCCAACAACCATGAAAATTAATACTAGTCATTAATCTAAATGAGAAATAATTAGAAAAACCAATGAAGGCTTTAAGAAGACTAGGTCAAAAGTTCAAAACATGTTTTGCATTTTGTGTGGTTGTCGTCACTTTAAAGTTTTTCTTTTTCTTTTCCTTTGACCACTCCAATAGACACAACAAAAACCAGTGTTCCTCGTTCATTCACGCGCTCGTAATCACACACTCATACACAAACGAAGACAATGGAGAACGGCTCAGAATTGGGTCAGATCATTGACGGACCAACCAATCCAATGGTCACACCTTTACTCAATGATCTTTACCAATTCACCATGGCTTATGCTTATTGGAAAGCTGGCAAACACAACGAACGATCCGTGTAAAATTCTGGTCATGCTCTGTTTTTTTTGAGATTGAATTCGGAATTCTGAAATTGATTGTTGTTTTTGGTTTCAGCTTCGATCTGTATTTTCGTAAGAACCCATTTGGTGGTGAATACACAGTGTTTGCTGGATTAGAAGAGTGTGTTAAGTTCTTAGCCAATTTCAAATTGAGTGATGAAGAAATCGATTTCGTTCGTGATTGCTTGCCTGGATCTGAGGTATAATCAAAAACCGTTACTTTGATTTGATTAAAGTTTGGATTTTTAAATCTGGGTTCTTTGTTTTTGATTCAAATTAGGAAGCTTTTGGCGATTATCTTAGAGGGCTTGATTGTTCTGATGTTGAAGTTTATGCGATTCCGGAAGGATCAGTTGTTTTTCCTAAAGTACCTCTTATGAGAGTTGAAGGACCTGTTGGTGTAAGTCTCTCTCTTTATCACTTAAGGAACAGTTTCTTTAATGAATGATTCATTGAGTTTTGTGAAATGTATATAGGTTGTTCAATTGTTGGAAACTCCATTCCTCAATCTTGTCAATTTTGCATCTTTGGTAGCTACTAACGCAGCTAGGCATCGCTTTGTTGCCGGAAAATCTAAGAGTCTACTCGAGTTTGGTGCTCGAAGGGCTCAGGTTTCTCTCTTGTTTTTGGATATAGACTTTTTGTGTTGTTCTTTCCATGTCTGTCTGATGTTCTTAGTTTTGGAATCTTTAGGGACCCGATGGTGCAATAAGCGCATCGAAATATTGCTACCTTGGGGGTTTTGACGCAACGAGGCAAGTCTTGCTTTTTGTTGTTTGTTGTTCTGGAAATAGTTGAAAGGGAATGTAGGAATGATATGGTTTTGTGTTGTTTGGTATTTTGCCAATGGCAGTAATGTAGCAGCTGGAAAACTTTTTGGGATACCTCTCCGTGGGACACACTCCCATGCTTATGTTAGCTCATTCATGGTCAGTTCACTTCAGCCAAAAGTTTCAATTTTTATGTTGGAGAGGTTATATAATTTAGCAGTATATTGTCCAGCTCATTACAATACATACTTGAGTTAGCTAGTAGAGGCGATAACACAAAGTTTCGTGAGAATAAGATGTTCTTGTCAATGCCTTTGTTGCTATAACTTTGTTAGCCATGGTTTCATATCAATATCACAAAAGAAATTTCGATTTCATTACCTTAACTTTGGATTGCAGAGCACTGATGAGATTGTTGACAAAGTACTTCGCAGTGCTGATGGGAAAACCACGTGCGAGGATTTTGTCAGTCATGTTCAGACATGGTTAAAAAAGATTCAGGTTTGCTATTGCAATCTATATTCACGTCTGCTTCAACCCTTTAAATCTTTGTCACCATTTTTATTATGTTTTGTTTCCTTGTGGATGACAGTATTCACCATCTCTAAGTGGCATTTTCTCTGAGACGAATCAAAGCGAGCTAGCAGCATTCACCTCATATGCGCTGGCATTCCCCAAAACTTTTCTTGCCCTCGTAGATACATACGATGTGAGCATTAAACACCATAGTATATTGCTCATTTGAGCCTTAAGATTTCTAATAAACTGTTGTATTAGTGTTTTGCCGACTGTTTTTACAGGTGATGAAGAGTGGAATCCCTAACTTCTGTGCAGTTGCTTTAGCACTCAATGACTTTGGGTGTGTAAGAATCTCTTATCAATACCCGATCGTTTGGCTTGACTTAAGGATTTAGTGACTTTGTACTTCTTCGGGATCATATGGAATTTGAGATGCAATTGATGTTTGTTGTGCTGTGCAGATATAAAGCATTAGGTATTAGACTGGATTCAGGTGACTTAGCTTATCTATCTAGAGAGGCTAGGAATTTCTTCTGCACGGTAGAGAGAGAACTAAAAGTGCCCGGTTTTGGGAAGATGGTCGTCACCGCTAGTAATGATCTTAATGAAGAGACGATTGACGCTTTAAATAAACAGGTGATTCTCTAACCCCACTCTCAAATGCCATGCCTCCATAAGGTCGATTTTGTAAGCAGCGTTTTTTTTTCATCTCTATAGGGACATGAGGTGGATGCTTTTGGCATCGGGACCTACTTAGTCACTTGCTATTCGCAAGCAGCCTTAGGTTGTGTTTTCAAACTTGTGGAGATAAACAATCAGCCTCGGATTAAACTTTCTGAAGATGTTACGAAGGTTAAAACTCCCTCTCTCTTGGGTTTCTGAACATTCAATGTCATATTGCACTTAATCTAATTATCATTCTGAATTTTTTTAGGTATCGATACCGTGTAAAAAGCGAAGTTACAGATTATACGGGAAAGAAGGTTACCCTCTTGTGGATATAATGACTGGAGAGAATGAACCACCTCCAAAGGTAAAACGAAAGATAACTCTCTCGAAGATATTAATCTCATTACCTTAATGCATTTTGCATGATCCTTTCTTAATTGCAAAGGTTGGTGAGCGTTTACTATGTCGCCACCCATTCAATGAATCTAAAAGAGCATATGTAGTGCCACAACGTGTCGAAGAGCTCCTCAAATGTTATTGGCGTGGAAGTGCAGGTAAAGATTTTTTGGCACCGTAAAGTTATAATGACATTGCTTTTAACTGATTATTGCTTCTCCCTGCCAATGAAGATGAAGCAAGAGAAGAATTACCGCCTTTGAAAGAGATAAGAGACCGTTGCATCAAACAGCTCGAAAACATGCGACCTGATCATATGAGGAGATTAAACCCAACTCCTTATAAGGTTTGACATTGTCCTGAAACCATTTTTTCGATTTTCTAAGGAATCGTGTAAATAATTTTTTCCTCGGTTACAGGTAAGTGTAAGCGCGAAGCTGTACGATTTCATCCACTTCTTATGGCTCAACGAAGCACCTGTTGGTGAATTGCAGTGACAGAACAAACAAAAAGAAGAATCTGGTTTTGAGTAATGTATATAGATTTATATACCACAACATCACAAATACGCATTTCTTTCACTAAGTTTCATTTCTTAGAACATTTTGATGATCTCATACTTTATTGTCGTAGTAAGTTTCATCTTCTTACTGAGGAAAGAAACTCTCTGCGTTCATTGGAACTTTGTTTACAACTGATTCAATAAGATTATATTTACCGCTGTAAACATACTAGAAACTGTAAAAATTTATTTTACTCAAGTCAAGGATTTTGGATCAGATATATATTTTGTACTTCTTCTGTCTCATATGTAGAATAGTACATTGTTCGATCAATTTGTGGTTAACACTGGTTCTGTGGATCAGGTTTAGTTTTCATAATACGGCGTAGTTGAACTCAAATTTGCGGCTTACTATTGCAATCAGATTGGTAAGCAGTTAATCAAGTTTTTCTAGTAGAGATTTGATGAACATAACCCTTGTTCAAAAAGTTTGTTAGGCGCTAGTCTAGCGTTCGGGGTGGGTCTATCGACTTAACCAAATGTTCAAAATTCATTTATGCAAAGAGTGAATCAATGGCTAAGAACTGATGAGCCAGAAGAATATATATACAATAAATGGTACCAAAAAGCAAAAGATATGGAAAATGAGGAAAGCACTATTGAACGGAAAATCACTTAACAAGAATACAAGATGAGTAAAAATGACAAGGCGACAATCCATCCAAATTGAGGTTAGAAACAAGTGATAGTTTTGTTCTTACACAACAGAGTTATACAAGTGTAACCTTGAATTCTTATGGTCTCCAAATAGCCATGGCTTGGAGGGCAGGGCACTCGATAAGGGGTTTTCTTGGATGAAAGTTAAAATTTGTTGATATAAAAGAAATATATATATATATAACCCAACCCGTCTCAGCTTTCCGACGCCGGTGAGTCCATGGCTTGCCGGCGTCGGGCCATTCTCTCTATTCTCTCGTGCTCTTGTCGGTGCTCCTGCTCTTGTGAGCTTTTTCTCACTATGTTTTCCCTTCCCGACAACCGTAACTCCAAATTAAGCTCAGATCTGGTGGTCAGAGGTCCATCTTCCGCCATCCTTAGTTCAACCTCATTCCGCCAGAACCTTTGTTTGGCGAGACCTTCTTCCTTTCTCCGTCGGTTGAATCTTTCGCCGGCGAGATCCTACCCTCACATTCAGCTTCCAGCCACGAGTCGTCGATGGCTGATCGTGTTGTATCTCCTTAGCATGAGTTATGTCTCCGGTTTAATCCCTGCCGGTCCCCCGTCCACCCATCGCTGCCTCTCAACACCTCTCACAGTTATTAAACACTCTTCATCTCTTATCCCAACCCAGATTCGGTTGAAGCGCTTCACTGGAGTTCCCTTAACCGGTGCCTTCTTCTCGGGATCTACCTTTGATTCCCGAAGACCTATCTTCCTTCCCGAGAACTGCTCCACCATCGATGACTCCTCCGCCTCTCCAAGATTTCGGACGTTTTGGTCTCTCCAAGTGAATCTAGGGACTACATCAACTTCGGCCTCTCTCTCGGTCTCAATGTCCGATGAACTTCCCACCACCACACTTCGCCGCCGCTGCAATCTTCTCGTGACCAAATTAGGTCAAAGGTCCTTCCAACGAGTGTTGTGGGCCTGACCCATTAAGTTTGTGGTGTGGGCTTTAAATGACTTGATCTCTTTTTTTTGCCCAAAATCAAATAACATGCCTAACTTTATGACCTCTCATATACGTTTCGTAATGCTACTCATGGTTTGTCCATTGCCAAGAATTAATTGGTTTGGGTCATTTTTGAATTGCCGAGATAATGATGATCTCATTTCCGCATCATCCTCCATCCCAGAGTCACTACAAGAAAACTGGGTTTTAGCGACTACACTAAAAGTCACTAAATAGTCGCTAAATGGTAGGTTACGACTAAAACGTATAGTCGTAAATCGAGAGTCGCTAAAATAAATAGTCGTAAAAATAGTCGTCAATTAGCGACTACGTTACGACTAATAATCGTAGTCATAAGTGTAGTCGTAACGTAGTCGCCAAATTTAGTGACTAATTAACGACTATATTACGACTTTGGTCTTATTTATGTATTTATATATTTATACTGTATTGTATTTATTTATACCATATTTATGTATTTATACAGTATTTAGGTATTTATTTCAATAATAATATTTATATTATTTTTAAATATATTTTTGGAAGGTACTGAACTACTGATATTAGTAATAAAAGTACTACATTTAAAAGAAAACCATATTACAAAATAAAATTAAAACATTATTAAATATAAAATTACATCATCCTCCAAAAAACATAATTAAAACAAAGTAGATAACAATCATTAAGAAAGAACTTGGCTTAATTAACTCTTTTGATTTCAATTCTTCTTCCTTGTCTTATAGGGTTTATCAAAAAAATTCTTCTTCCTTGCCTTACTCTTTCATGCTTTCTTCTGCTCCAAAAACTGCCTCATGGTTATCTCACCGGAAGAAAATACTGATATGCTATCATAGGTCTGGTCAAGATACTCTCCCTGAAAAAAAAAACGCACCATGAGAAGGCAAGGACATATCATCTTAAGACTAATCAATCAACACGATTTTGGCCAAGCATTAAGTCGTGATTTGCCATTGCAGAAGCAATATCACACTGCTTAAAAAGAAAACCACCTGTAGAAAGACAACTAGTTCTCTCACTATATCAATACCTGCAATAAAAGAACAGTACATGTAGTAAGAGAACACGCCAACAAGATCTATTATCCAACTCTAGAATACAAACACACATACGACCAAAGGATCAGAGACTATATCAATATGAGCTGAAATTAAAACAGCAAAGAACTTGGCTACGCAAATCAGTTCTTAAGCAAGCATCACTTTGGCAAGTTAATCTCCGGACATCACAATCAAGAACTTGAATAGCTACATTATCCAAAGAAACATATGTAAACTTCTTGGTCAGACAATATAGGCAACTTGGTTTTTGAAAGACCATTTCAATTGATCTCAGCTGTTAATAGTTTGTCACTCTATAGCGAATACATTAAGAATGTTCAGAGAAAGATAAACACGGATTTGACTTTGTAGTGGTCACTAACTTGAATTGGTCCATTTTTCATGTTTTCTCTAAATTTAAAAGCTGAAACCATGACCCATTACTTTGTCCAAAGTCTAAGTACGTTCAAAATATGAGAGCAAGTAAACTCGTACCTTAAACTCAACTGTAAGTGTTGGGACCTTTTTAAAACATCTCTTAGGCTGCGCTGGAAAAAGATGTCCAATCCCTAGCCTACAAGAGAAATCGAGATAAATTAAGCAAATATCAAAACTGACCAATCCAAGCAATAGCAACAAATGCTAAAGAAGTTCCGACTGTAAACACGACCATGTGCCTCTTGAACAAGTCCTAAGTGATTAAACAAAACTCCATTTAAGCAAAACCTCCTGATTCTCAAAACTCCTGATTCTCAAAACATTTCACAATCCCAATTCTTCAAAATCGATATAAATTGGAAAATTTGGATCAAAAGTAAAAGACTCATTCAAAACATACTCGTCTCCTTACCAACCAACACATGCGACTCAGATCTCCTCTGATTGAGAGAAAATAGTTAAAATTCAGAGATTACAAAAGAGTGGCCACTTAAGAGAAAAGAGTTAAAATTCAGAGAAACCCAATCAAACATCACTCCTCTGAGGTTGGTGATGGCGAAATCCTTTACCTTACCTTACCAAAATGGAAGAGGTCGCTAACCAGAGGATTGACAGGAGAACTTCAGGGAGTGACGAACAAGCTCGAGATCGAGAAAGAGGAGCCGTCCTAGAGCATCCTTGACTTGAACCAGCAAGATTGCAACTCCGCAGGACGAATTGAGCATAAACCACAGAGAAAACCGGTCTCCGTCCTTAAGAGGCCAGATCTGGGAACAAGAATCAAGTGAGATAAGCTCTTAACGACCCAAGGGGATCAACAAATTGGAGCGCAATCATCCTTAAACACGAACCAAGAAAATTATCGAGAGTTTGGGGAAGAGAAAAGAGGAAACAGAGAGAGAAGGGAGGATTAGATCTGAAATTGTATTTCTTTGGATGATGAACCCTAGTATTGGGCTGTATCTTTTAGTACAAAGCAACAAGACTTAAACGGCAACGTATTAATAAATGACAGTACTCTTCTTCATTTCCCTTCTCTCCTTCTTGCTTCATTTTATTTAGTTAAAAGTTTAGAGTTTATAATAGGGTTGAGATTTAAGTTTTAGAAATTTGGAATTAGAATTCTAATTTGAATATATATTGAACTGTTGGTTTAGAGATTTAAATTTTAAGTAAATAGCTTTTTTAAAAAATTATTTTTAGTAAAGTATATATGTAAATAGTTTTAAATATTGCTTTATGTATGTATAATGGTTATGTTTTGGTTTTATTGTTTATGAATTAAATTTGATGATTAAGAATTTAAACTTCAAGATTTAGAGTTTATTATTTAGGTTTTAAAGTTAGGTTAAGGGTTTAGGGCTAAGATCTAAAATTTAGGGTTAAGTTTTGAAAATATAGATTTTCTTATAAGTATTAAATCGTAGTTTTAGGATGTATTACTTATACATAACATTATAGAAATTAGCCATTACAAATTCGTAGATTATTTGTAGCTACCAATTAGCCACAACATAGCAATGCAATATATTTATAACTATAATTAGCTACTAAATTTTCTCTTTTGCATTGTGTTTCTACAAATGAGGAGAAGAATGAGGTGAAATTTTTTATTTTATAGACATTTATAGCGACTAAATAGCAACTATGACGTTACCAAATGGTGACTATGGTTTGTAATCGCATAATAGTCGCCAAATTAGCGACTATTTTACGACTAATTTTTTCCGTGTGCAATATAGTCACAAAGTAGTCGCTAATTAACGACTACTTTACTGACTACTGCCTTTAGTCGCAAAAAAGCGACTAATTTACGACTAAAATTTTTTGGTCGTCAAATAGTCGTTTAATAGTGACTAATTAGTCGCTAATTTTGGCGACTAAATATTTAGTCGCCAGCTGTAGTCGTAAAAACCCTGTTTTCTTGTAGTGAGTGTATCTCTATGTCTTCCTCCCCTTGGGAGAGAATAATCTTAATTTCCTCCTCTTTTGAGGAGAGATTGTTTTCAACAGTTAGCCTTTCTTTGAGTGCGGTTATTTTTCCAGGTTTAAAGCTGAGAAATCTTATTGGGTTCGGTTCACTCGCCACCGCACCTCCCACCTCCATTGTGAGGGATTTTGCCCCAACCCTTGACCTAAAATCATGTCTTCCTCCTACCGCCTCTCACCGCCTCTATCCCTCTCCGTCATATGTCACCATTATTCCCATACCTTGTTCATCCGAAACCATCTTTTGGATTAGCCAGGTCGTCATTGGTGATCGAACCCCTTCATTTACCTCGTTTTCTGTACCCGAAGAATTGTGGCTTCAATGTCTCCTCTTATATGCCTTTATCGGCTTTTCAACCGCGAGATTTATCTCTCGTCCTAGTTGCGACCTCCCTTTTCAGGGAATGGGTGTTCCGACACTTCAAGCGCAAGATTGGAAGGTTAAAACTGCTCGGAATCTTATGTATTCCATGCGGCAATGTTTATCTTGGTGGTTGGCAATCTGGAAACGGAGAGCTTTCTGCCTTTTCGAGTGGTCCACTTGTGTAGTGGAACTCTTTATCTTTATGGTGTTTAATCTTCTTGCTTTATCCTTTTATTCTAGTTATGTTTCTTGTTGTATTAAGGCTTGGATGTCTGTTTTCAGTTATGTAAACAACAATCCATGGCACTCTATCCTCCTTTGTAAGTTCACCGGTCTTTGCTCGGCTTCCTCTAGAGGGAAGTTTGTTTGCCTGTAACTTATTATAATGGAGAGTTTGTTGACAAAAAAAAAAATGACTAAGAGGTTTTAGGCGTACATCTCCTCGGACCAGAGACCAGAACATTTATATGGTCATCTCTCAAGTGTCATTCGAACGGGTGACCTCTGAACTTTACCTAAAAATCTTTACCAGTTGAGTTATGTATAAAATAAACGCATATAATATACATAAAATTGGTGCGGACCAAATACATTTTTTATTGTGACTCCTTCCATCTTTTCAGAACAACAATCTATACTAGTATTTTTGCAACACTTTGGTGACGGGTGGATAAAAATGCTTTCGGGTATATCGGATACCCGACCCGTTTCAAAAAAATTTTCACAAAAAAATACTTGGATCGGGTTAAATAAAACCCAACTCATACACCGGATATTCCATATTTAATAATTTAGATATTTAGAAGATTTGATTAAGATTTATAATTATGATTCTCCTATTATCTTTGTTTGATTTGTTTTTAACTGTTTTGAATCACCATATAATACATAAATAAATAAAAAATCAATTTTTTCTGCATATACTGTGATTCGAAATTTTTAAAACGGACATATATTATCCAATTGACGAAAATGTGTGTTCAACGTTCTACATCGATTAAAATATTTAGATAATGATTCAGAATCATATCATAAATAAGAATATTAATAAATAAATGAGTTTTTCGGTCAGACGGGTTTGGCGGGACGGGTTATTGAATCAACAATAATAAAAAGATTAAAAATCATTAATCCGCCGCTTCAATACGGATTAAATCCTTTTTTTTAATACCACAAATATTAGACATATTAAATCAGTCTCATTTAGAAAAGATTGTATAAAACCAAAAATTGTCCCTTGGTATAATGTCGAGTGGTCTTAGAGGATAATATGATTTGTAAACTTTTATATATAATAAATAATCATTAAATTTTAAAATAAAAACAAATCACGAGACGGATTAAGAAATTACGGAACGAGTTATATTTCGGAAAGGATTTATATGGCGGACGAATTTGAATCAATATTTATATACCGCTTTAATACGGGTTAAATCCTCAGTTTATTAATAATTATCTCGTGGACTCTTGGTATACAGTTACTTAATAACAATTGTAAACTATAATATAAATAAATATGTTTTAAGGAGATACAATTTATAAAATATTTTTATATTAACTTTAAAATTAAATCATCCCGCGGTGTACCGCGGGTTAAAATCTAGTTCCTTAGTGAAAATTAAGAGATAGAGTAATATATAACATTTACTCTAAAAATAAGAGAGTAAAATACCCCTCAATTAAATTTTTTTTGCTAGTTTGAATCCCTCGTTTAACCCGTTTGTGATCTGAAATCAAGCTTACATATACAAAATGGTCCATGAGAGAGTTTGGTTTTAGACGATTTTTACCCAAATGGTCCATGAAAGAGTTTTGTTTCCAAGTCTTCGGAAAATTTGTCTAGTTACAAAATGGTCCTGCATCATTTGGAATAATGTATTTATGGCATTATTCTCAAATTTCTCTAACCATTGGGCCAGCACAATATGACCCTTTACAGATCTAAAGTGTGTTTTTATTAGGGATTTTGGTCTAATGTACAATATATTGTAGCAAAATTTACAGAAATTGTTATTCAAAAAACTAATTTTATTATTTTTAAATTTTGTAACGTTTCAACTACAGTTTTTGTGATGGAATGTTTATGATTTGTTATTAATCAATAAATTTAAAGAACAGCAGAATTATCATATTGAAATTCTGATTGGTCGAGCTCAATCAATTCAGTGCTGCATGACATCAGTTGGTGTGGTTGATATGGTTAGTACAGTTTAGTTCAACAAAAAACTGCAGTGAAATTGTCGATTAGTTGTTTAAAGTGGGATTAACTAATTTCTGTTGGAACTTGTTTTTGACAAAATGGTTTTGACCATTGTTACGGTGGATTTTCCGGTGAAGACGTTCATCGGAATGACTAGTTCTTGGGCACGATGAAATCGTTGCTGCGAGCACTACGTGGTGGTGTATTGGAATGTCAAAAACGGAGTTCGTTTGAATGAGAAATGGAGGTCCAAAGTGGTTAGCTTGCTATGCTTGGAATTTTAACTAAATGTTAATTGGACCACTTTGGAGGTCAAAGGAGAAACCCAAACATATATGGGTTGGATTTGGGATTTGAGATTAATAATATGGGCTTGTAACCCATTAGTTTATTCTTGTTTGCCCTAATCCATATTGAATTATGTTGTTGACTAATTCAAAGAAATATCTCCTTGATTGATTTTGTAACAACCTAATTAAGTCTCATGAATTAAGGTTGGAATCAATTTACGACATTGACGTTAGAGAATCAAATTCTCATAACTCACATATCCTCCTCTTTATGGCATAGACGTTGAGCTTTTAGTATAAAGTCAAGCCTTTGTCTTCTCATTCTGATCGATCAAAGCATAAAAAATCCCTCTCTTCTCTTTTCTTCTTTTTTGTTTGTGTCTGAGAGTACAACACAAGACTAGTGTTCGTTTAGCTTTTGATTTGAGTGTTGCAATCAAAAGAAGAAACAGTTTTATCCTGGAACTCTAATTGTCATCAAACCGGCACACTACGGGGCGATTTTTGAGTTAAGGAGAGAGATCATCAACGTTCTCGACTCTGTTTATCACCGTCAATCTCCGTTCTTCAATCGTCCTTTCGGTATTGTTGATTTTTGATACTTGTTCTATATTATTTGTTTTACAAATATTAGATTGTACCCTTATTGAAATATTAAGGTCCTACAATTTTATAGTACTACTTTTTTTTATGCATATTAAACGTTGTAATAACTATTTCTTTTGAGCTGTCTGTTACCGCTTGCAATCGCAAATATTAGCGGAAATGAACTTTTAGAATTTAACGGTTTCGAACAATTTCTCAGAACGGTATAAAACGATTTCTGTGATTGGTTTTAAACATTACCAACCACAACTACATGTAAACGTAATATTTGCGGAAAACCAATCAATCCCTAAACTAAATTAGAAAATCTTTTTTAAGGCGTTTGGGGGAGTTTGGAAACGCACCAAAACGACAAAAACGCATAGAGAGTTTTAAGTTGAATATTAAAATTGAGAGGACAGAAAATGAGTGTGGGGATAGAAATTTATTATTATTGTTCACAAAAACAAAACAAAAAAATGTACTAAGAATATGCTAAAGATTCGAAGAAGAAGAGGTAAAAGTAGAGCTAAAAGACACGACTTTTCTGGGCTCTAAATCTGTTAAAAAGCTTTCTTCTTTTTCTGTGCAATTTCGTACTTCTAAAAACATTCTTCTACAAATCTTCTATTTCGAAATTAACAAAATAAAATAAAAATTAACTTATTCTCTGAAAATAAAATCTAAAAAAGTTAAATAAAAACATAAACTTCTTCTTCTTCTTCTTCAATCTAAGTTTGCCCATTCGTAACGTCCTTCTAATGGCTTCTCCTTCTCGAAATCGAAATTGTACCTAATTCAAAAAAATAAATCAAACTCACTCTTAATGTAACTCAAAAGCAATTTTAAATCATGGATTATAAATCAAACTTCTTCTTGATTTACCAAAAAAAAAAAAAAAACTTACTTCTTCGTGAATTTTTCATTGATCTGTTTCTCAGCTTCCACAAAAAAATCTTCAATTTCCGATTCCGTTGGCATCTCAGTCGTCGATTTCGCCATCTCCTCCTCCGTCGTCGCAGTCTCCTCCCTCGTTATTCTCCCGCTACAACAACAAACTAACGATTCTTTAACCGCCGATTCAAATTCCGATGAATAATTCTCCATTGATTTACTTAATTCTTCTTTCTCCTCCTCTCTCAGATTTTCAAAAAGCTTCCTCTTCGTACTCCTAAATAATAATTCACAATAAAACTTTCTAAATTTATTGAGGAGAGAGTCAAATAAATAACCGGGAAAATAATAAAACCTTCAAAATTCAAATGATTTTCAGTTTTTTTTTTTTTTAACTCTCTCACCGTCGATACGTCGACGTTTCAGTGTCACCATGTTTATCTTCCTCCTACAAAAAAAATTCAAATTTTCAAAAAAAAAAAAAAAACATTAAATGATTTCCTATATCTACAGTTACAAGAATCTAGAATCAACAACATTAAATAACCTCCAGATCTATAAATTCATTGTTCTTATATTCATTGCTTCCACAACAAGACGACAAAACTCCATCATCACCGGAGCTAGCTTTTTCCGATCTAACATAAACAATTCTCCGGCTACGAAGCTGCATATACGTTGACGAAACTCCAGCTTCTACGATTCCTTTAGCTTTTCTACATTTTCTCACCATCTTCGATTTAGGTTACGTGTGCGTGAAGTAAAAATCTCTGAAAAGAGAGAGAGAGAGAGATATGATTGAGAGGACGAGGAAGAAGAAGAAGAAATAAGAAGAAGATGATTGATCATGAATTTGGTTTTTTTAACGGTCAGGATTGAGTTTTGTGCTGTGATAGAGAAATGGCGTGTTTAAGTGGTCCCGTTACAGTGACGGGGAATCTTTAACGGGGAAACTGGAGGCGCCGTTATTTGGATTGTGTGGAGTTACTTATACGGACGATTAGATTTAATGACACGTGTCGGTTATAGACGGTGATTTAACGGAACGGGAGGCGTAATAATTGTGGTGTAACTAACTATTTTAAAAACCCTCTCATCTATTGGTAATTCACAGATTTGCCATTACCCGGACCGGAATGTAGATAATTATTGTTACAACTAATATATGTAAAGTTAGAATGGTTACGGTGGGTAACTACGAACCGTAGAAATAAATTTGGTTCGCGGCGATTTGTTATCATTACCAAAAATAAAGTAGTTTAGTCCGCTAACGGTTTAGTCTGTTTTGTCCATACCATTTATTCAAAACCGTAATGTAAATATGACACATTTGTTAAGAGAAATAAATAAGTAGAAACAAATAAACAGTAATAAGATAAAAAAGAGTCTATTGGTTTGGCTAGGGATGTCAAATGGGCTTCTTGACCATGGGTAAAACCCTTGTTCAAAAAATCGGCCGCCTAGGCTATTAATCGGCCGCCTAGGCGCTCGGCGGAGGTATACCGCCGCGATTTACCCCTAATCAGATTGACTAATCGTTTGACCGATTCATCGGCCGATTAGTATCCTAGGCGTTGAAATCGCCGATTTAAAATAAAATTTGAACTAAATTTGGACCCAAATCCTAAACGAATTGGGCCTATACTTGATTTGGCCCATTCGATTTTATGCTTGGGTTGGTAAACGAGAGAAGGTATTTATAATACATCATCTGTGGGGATCCTTTTTCAAGTTTCCGATGTGGGACTTATGTGTTTTGCCAATTCTTTTACTTTTTTTTTGTGTGACAGATGTATTAATTTATGGGAATTTATGGGTGTGAGTGGAATGTCTCAGCGGAAACAAGAAGAAAAGAAAAAAGAGGAAGAGAGAAGAAAAGAAAAGTAAAGTTAGAAGAAGAAAAAAATTTACCATGTATTTATGGTATGAAATTTGTTACTTGTTTTTTGTAAAAGTGGAGGAAATGAGAAGAAAAGATATAATTCTGCTGGAATAAAAAATCTTTTTGACTGGTGAAATAATGGAAGAACTGAGAATATTTTGTTTTCTTCTCACTTCTTTTCTTCTATATATGATAACCAGTCATACCCTATGTTTAATTAATGACCATAAACAAGTGGTGAGAGCTAAAAAAAAAAAAAAACAAGTGGTGGAGGCTCGTAATCGAAGAGTGTATTTGGAGTTTTTGTTTTCTTTCTTCATTGTTTAAACACCTACTTCTTTTGTCTAATATTGTTATTCGTTTAATTAACCCTTAATTGGTTTTTTGAAAAATCAATGTAGGATTATTTTACAGTTTTCATTTGATTTTTCTAATTAAAATTTTATGGTGATAATCATACATATAAAAGTAGGGTTTCACTCTCCCATGATTGGTCCACTTGGCATTTCTTTTTTATATTTTCTTAAATTTATATTTAATATATTAATCTCTAATTAACTCACTTTAAAACTCATGTATAACTCCACATTTAAATTCATTTGTAACTCCTCCACTAAAATGCATTAACTATTTGAAAATTATATTGACTATAATTTAAACTCTACATTTAAACTCAACATTTAAACTCAATTGTAACTTCTACCAATAAATAATAATTTATAACTCTTACTCAATAATTATAAGAGTTTCACCACTTCTCATCTATAAATATCAATTCTCTTATCATTCTCTACCATATTTCCAAATTTGTAAATTTACTTTATTTTATGTTCTTGCATAAGTTAAAAACTATTGTGTCATAGTGATAATGAAAGTTTGATTGTAATATTTATTTTTAAAGATGATGTGATATGTAATTTACATTGTATTCAATTTTTATTTTGTTTATTCATTTTTAGAGATTATATGGTATATATGTAGTTTATATTGTATTCCATTTTATTTTGTTTCTACCGCATTGCAAGAATATATTTCTTTCACTTTTAGTTTTCAAAATTCTTACTATAATATTTATCTATTTCCCGATTTATCTATTAAAGTTCAAAAGCTAACTATTCTAATATTCACACAACAATTCAATCGAGTTGAAATGATATATCTTCGTTTTTCATTATTGATGTATGATTATTCTCTTTATCTATTTATTCAAACAAAAAATATTATTCGATATTTTAACATTTTGAAATTAAAATTTTTAAAGAATTTTTCAAATATATGTTCCAACATGTAGTGATATGAATATCATTATAGTATTTTTCCAAGGTTTGTGGTCAAGATTATTTTTTCCAACAAAATTAATTTAATAAAAACAGTTAGATAATCAATAGCAAATGTTTAAATATCATGTTAGTAAAAAGGATGTGAGAAAGAGTATCTTTAATGAAAAATGTATGCTATTCATGTTAAAAGAAAAACTGTTTTTCCTTTGCATCAACACAAAAATTACGTTTGAATCTAAATAAGTTAAATTTTCTTAAAATTGAAGATATTAGAACTTAGACTTAATAAAAATATATAAGTAGGTGTTAGATCTATCTAGAAAATACACTATTCTTGATATATGTTTTTTTTATTACAATATACAAATAATTTAAAAAATATTTCGAGTCGTACCACTTAATTTTTACAATACTAAAAAATAAGTGGTGTTAAAAATTGTGCAATGTAATCATAGAAGAATATATGTGTTAATATTAAAATCATAATTTTCTTTTAGTTTTATTTCAAATTTTAAATTCGTGTTTACAATAAAAATGTAACAAGTCACGCGTAGCGTGGCTACATTCATCTAGTAATACATATTTCTTCCATACAATAACTTAGATCTACCAACATACATTTAGTTGTTTACATTTATTTATAATTTAAAAATAAGTTGTATTGTTATTTTCATGTGTTTAATGTAATTTCGAAAACAATATTACATAAAAGTTTGAATTATAAGGATAAACATGTTTTAAAAACATTAAATAGCCGTAAAACTAGTCCCGATTAATCCCCGCTTAATCTTCGATTTTTTTGCTAGGCGCTAGGCCCACCTCGAGCGCCCGACTAGCGCCTAGCGATTTTTTTAACATGGGGTAAAACCAGTCCAAATTATAATGGTCCGGATTTGGTCACGTCCAAATTCGCCCAAATTCGAAGCGGTCAATATGGGCTAGAAGCCCATTTAGTCCACAAACAAATGGGCCAAACTCATCTGAACATGGATCGTCCAATAAGCCTTAAAAATTAGGATTACTAATTTGGAGAAATTTTTTTTCTTTATTTCTTTAAAAATTAGGATTTACACTGACATATTCACTCAAAAAAATATTTTTACAGTTTTGGCGGAAAAATGTGATTTTACGATTTAGCGGAAAAATGCAATTCTTCGATTTTGAGAGAAAATGTGTTTTTGCGGTTTTGGCGGAAAATAGAGAATTATATTATTTGGGCTTCATGGGCTGTACAGTTGGTCATGATCTTATTTGGGTTTGGTCTTAATTGGACACGGTCCTATTTGGGCTTATACTATCATGGTCCTATTTGGTCTTGGTCCCATTTGGACAGACCCATTTGGACCTGGACAGCCCAATTGACATCCCTAGGTTTGGCCAAAAAAACATAAGCAAAATGTAAATATCAATACTATAATTGTTCGTGGCCCCAGCGCAGAGGCCAAGCAACTGAAGCCATCGATTGGTTGGGGCCTCAAAATTTTAAGGTCTTTTAAACTAAAAATTTGTTAAGTTTTGGATATGTTGCAAAAGCTATAAATTTATTCTTTAGGGCCTTTTTTTAAAAATGATATGGGCTTTTAAAGACAAACTAATTATCTTCAACACTAAATTTTTGCTTTAGTAAAAAAAACTCTAAAATGCTGATTGAATAATAGAAAAAAAAACTGACGTTACATGATACCTCTTATGCGTGTATGTGAGTCAAGTTGCTTATTTTACAAGTGAAAAATCCTAGTTTTTGAAGTTAATTGTTAGTTTTACTTTTGAATTTATTGTTTTTTCCTTGCAAATTTGTTTTAAAAAAGAAAGCTGCAAATCTGATAATGATTCGTTAATGGTTTTTGTAGTATATGAAAAATGCATACTTTTTGAAGCTTTGCGTAGGACACTCGCAGATGTCGAATCGGCATTGGTTCGTGCATATGCATATTTCAACTAATAGCTGGGAATGACATGAAAGTTGAAACCCATGACAAAGTGTCAACTTTCATAACGTGAAGAATTCAATCCTACACAATCCTTAAAACAATTTGGACTCATTATATATTATCACTCCACTTGTAGTAAAAGAAATTAATGAGTAATAAGATCTATTTGAGTAAGTTTCATTACTTTTGTTTTCTATTTTTTCTTTTAATACCTTTTTACTCTATCTTTTCACTTCTTCTTCTTTTTTTCTACTTTTCATCTCATTACCCATTAGTTGATATAGTTAATGCTAACATCCACATACACAAACAGATTCATCAGTGAGTGGCACACTAATTTTATATGATGGGAACATGAGGTTATTTAGTTAGAATAAATAGTGAATACCTGATGGTCTGACATGGATAAATTTAAAATTACAAACATCCATTTGCATTAAATGAAAAGATTAAGCTTTTTAACACTTCAAGTCTTTAATTACTGGGGGAAAACGATCTATTTTCCCACGAGAAGCATCACATCATAACAGATAGAGCCCAATCTATGACCACGTGCTAGATGTCCCCGAAAAAATACTTCTCAACTTATATCCCCATAAATTCATAGTTCAAATCCTATTTCTCCCTAAAATAAAAGTTTTCATCTTATTTACACACAAACATTGGTTTTGTTCGGTTTACTGACTGCTTACCAAACTAACGAAAATATTAAACCGGATTAAACCTAATCTAAACCAATTCTGACCCGATTACAACTAATTGAACCCGACCCAAGCAAACCCACGTTACCCACCCAACCCAACATCCTTCTTAACCCGTAAGCCGTAACATACCAATTCTTCTTCTTTCTCTCCCGTAATCTCTCTATGTTCATCTTCTAGCTTCACTCGCTCCCTTCGCCATAGCTTAACCTTCCTTCAAAAGCTGTACTTATGAAACCTAACCTATCTCTCTCCTCTTCCATGGATTTTCTTAGATCGGCGAATCCTATTTCCAGTTTTTTTTTTTTTTTTTTTTTTTTTACGTATTTAAATCAGAAATTTT